CTGATGCCAATCCTCTCCTTTTTTCTTGAGGAAGACTGGCCCTGAGCTAACATCTGTGGCCATCTTCCTCTACTTTATATGGGACGCTGCCACAGGATGGCTTGACAAGTGGTGCGTCGGTGAGCGCCCGGGATCCGAACCAGCAAACCCTGGGCCGCCACAGCAGAGCGCGCGCACTTAACCGCTTGTGCCACCAGGCCAGCCCCTATTTTGTATTTCTTAAGTAAACTTTTTTATAGGTTTTAAACAAATGGTTATGATATTAAAATGTTATCTTTTGATTTTAAATCATTGTCAGTTACTGTATATGGAGATCTGTCACACAGGACTTTAATTCTGTTAATATGATTCATATTACAAAGTCTGTACTTAAAAATTTATTTCAAAATCAACTTGTAATTCTTTTAGGTAAAGTATAATAAATACCTCTGGCTAATACACTCAATAATATGCATATAAACAGCATATAAATCATCTAATCTCAGACCTAATTTGACAAATACTGTCACAGAACACCTATGCAACAAAAAGAACACCTCAGTGTGAGCTGCCAAATAAAGTGTAGTGTTAAAATTACCACAAAATATGGAGTGATCGTATTTTGCAAGGAAAGAGGCTGGTGCAAACTTAATAGAAAAGCCACATCACAGCCAGATCTGGCATCACCAGGGTATGACATGACAGGGGACTTTTGTTCTAAACAACAGTGCCACTCAGTGGCTGAACAATGGTAGTGAACTGATAAACAGTATGAATGGAGGGTGGGCAAAAAGAAAAATGGAGGTTGAGTAGGCAATGATAATACTGCAGGCAAAGAGATATACTACGTTGCCATGGTAACTGTACCTTGGAGGTCAGTTAGAGTCTGGACAGGAACAGAAACCTGAGCATCGCTTCCTGTAACTACATCGCCTGGATTTCATAAGAAAAAATAATTAGATTTCATAAAAAGGAAAAAATTAACTTTTCTTTCATACTTAATGTTGTAACACTTTATCAACCTAATTACTAAAAGTACAGTACAACAGAAAATACAGCACAACCTTAGAAAAATTAATGTAAAATATTTTTAAAAGAAAATAATATTTAAAAAGTGTTTCCTCAAAAGCTTTTGTGCATGTTTTTCTTAAAGAAAAAAATAGGTTTCTACAAGTCTAAAGTATAGAAACCTTTAGCAGTCAGAAGATTTTGCTAACAGATTTCATTATGTGACAAATAGTAGTGTGATTTTATACTTTCTTTCTTTTTAAAAAAATTCTTTATCCAAAAGTAAATTATATGCATTTAAGAAGCATTCTTTTGAAATTGATTTCCTCCTATAACAGACAAAATTTATTTTTAACTAAACTTGAAACCAGTTTCTTCAGTGATAAGATAAAGACCTAAACAAGTTCTAATTTCATATTAAGTATTGAAAAGATTTCATAAGTTACCACATGTACTTATAAATGTCAACATGTAAAAATAAATCTGTGAACTGCATACCCTTTAAACTTGATATACTTATTATAGGCAAGATCTCATTTACAAATTGGACCTGTAGTAAATGCTTAAAATAAAGAAGTGTTCAAATTCAAAAAACAGACAAAGGAAATGGGGGAAAAGGAGTGCATTTTAAATACAGGAAAGAAAAGAAAAGGAGCACAACAGGGAATTTTGTGAAGAACCTGAGGTTCGCTACCATTTAGAAGGAAGACTTTGGTTCTTTGATTTCATTCCTGGACGACAAAATTCAACCCTGAGCACAGTCACTGTCAACAGAATAATCCTCCAGATAGAACAGCATCTGAAGGCCTATGCTATTTTGAGGTTAACAAGCTAAAAAACAAGCCTTAAAGGGCACTGTATTTTCTATGTATGATAATGTATGATAAATAGACTTGCTTCCCCTGGAGCTTTCATACAATAGTAAAAAATCAATTTTTGAATTAAATAACATACCCTCAACGCCTTGACCACTTGCTACAATTATGATTTACAGCACGGCCAGCTCATCTGGAAATATTAGGTTGTAATTATGTCGTCCCCATCAATTAACGGTACACGTATATATATTCTCCTATAACTGAAATAAAATCTATAAATAGGTATATATTCCAAACAAGTGATAAACAGCTTTTAGCAGAACTTATCAGGTCCTGAATTTTCATAATATAGTTAACTCTCTATTCACTGATAAAAACTCTCTATTCACTGATAAGTGGTGTGCCTATTTTCTGTATATTTGAAGGAGATTTTCAATTCTGTGCTTGCTACCCATTTTACTCTGCTGCTTCTGGATCACCTATTAGTGTCTATTTAGAGACTGAAAACTAATTTTAATATTAAATATCACCAGGAAAATTATGGAGGAAGATTTGTGCTCCTTTTTCCTTCCTTCACAACTCTACCCCCAACACATATATACACTACAGAATCCGTTGCATTTCAAGCAACAGATAGATGAATTTTGGGTTTTTCATACAATTGTTCCCCTATATAAGCACACACAATCAAGAGTTAACTAGCCTATGAAAACCATAAGCATTTTCATCTTTACAAACAACCACTTTTCAAAACAACTTTCAAATTTTCCACCAGAGAATACACTAAAAAGGCTATTCCATTATCTTTCCTCAAAGGCACTATGTAGATGACTTTCTTCTGAGATAGTTAGAATTCATATTCCAACACAAGCCTCCTGACAGGCTAAATACTGTGCTCACTAATCTCTGGGACCAGGTGACACACTTGCAGATTTGTCAGCGTCACAGAACAGCAGCATACTTGTGGGAAACACCAGCATAAAGAACTAATGTTGGAGAAGTAACAATATATCTTTTACCAAAGGAACTACAGATTTTTGGAGCTGGGAGGCTCCCCAGAGATTGGTCCAAACCTTTCACTTCAGGGTGAGGAAAGAAAGGGTCAGAGAGCTTCAGGATTCCACTGACAGTTCACGGGAGAGTGAAGGAAGGAAGAACATCAACCTGTACTACTTCTACTTGTACAAACTGTTCTCTTTGCCTTTTACTCTCTTCAAACCTTTATGCAGGGAGGGGCTTTAGCAAGAATATTTATCTTTAACATGAAGGTAGACAAGCTTTTTGTAGATTGACATGAGAAGAACGAACCAGAAATAAAAAGACAGAAGAGTTGCCAAACAAGGCCACTTTCTTTCAGCACAGGGATCAGTTGCAAAATGCCCTGGTGATGCTCATGTTCCAAATACTTTGCTTAAGTGCTCTGTTGTCCCCTCATAACTGGGGACTCAGTTTTCATCAATTGTTCCATCCTCCTGCACTTCCCTTCTCACTTACTGTGATATTAATACTTGACATTTCCTTAGAGACACAACTTTATATTTCTAGAGTCATTTGGCTTGGTTCCTCAGAAAATTTAAGCTACAGCATTAAGAGATTCTCTGACTCATTTGCCTGCCATCAGTTAGAATTACTACTGACTACAGCTTGTTATCAAAGCAATATTGAAGTCATATTTGTTTAGAACAATAAAACAGTACAATTAAGAAATATATAAAATAACATTCATTTCCATTCTGTAAGTGGGCATGTCTCCTGGTATTTTAATGATTAATGATTTGAAGTCTCCTTTTCTGTAAACTATGTGTGATAGCTCTACATTAAAAAAAAAAAGGAATGTGATTTAAAGGAGATATTCTTATGTAAGGTAAACCAAATATTCTAATAGAAATTTAAATACTAATTACACAAAGTCTAATACTTCATATAGGCAACAACAGATAACATGATGTAACTAATGGAAGGATACACACACAAACACTCATTACTAATAGTATTCATTATTTTGTATCACTGGGGAATAAAGTCCATTTAATTTAAGTTGACTGATTTAAATGCCAATAATATAAAATACTTAATAATTTTGGATGCAATCTTCTTAAACATAGTATATGGAACATGGTTTAGGGTCTTCTTACTGACTCAATATTACCATTGTTATTGTCAGCACTGGTTATTGAACATGGCAGCAACACAGGGATCCCTTTAAGACATGAATGAGGCATGGGTCAGGATACCTGCCCTGACACCATGGCCGCAGACTCTATGCTTTGTGAGGTCTTAGGATTGATTTTTTAGATATTCTGCTATCATGTTACTATTTCTTTCTTCTATATTCTAGATAGGAGAGTCCCACTACTAAAAATAATCTAATCGGCTGTGAATAGGGGTATCTAACACATGATGTCTCTGCAAATAGGTGGAAAATAAGAGTATAAAAGTTCTGAGTAAGAACCTGAAGGGCCCTCTTATAAATAAAATACATGAGGGAGGTGACGCCCTGGGAAGGCCCTGAAATAGAAATGAGCTTCCCCGAGTCCCAGCAGCAAGAGTGCCACTAACAGCAGTGCCTCACTCATCAGATGAGATCCAGATCGGATATCTCCAAGGTTTCCTCTGCTATAACATTCTAAGGTTCTAAGTTTTCGTGCATGGACTCAGACACTTACTTTGGCTGATTGAGATTCTGTTTAGCTTTTTTCAACCCCTTAAGGCTCTCGTTTGTATTCTCCAGAGGTAAAGCAGCTGGATGAGAGACTGCAAGCCTAGTGGCAGGCTCCTCCCAGTGGCACAGAGGAATGCTGTGACTATTAAAGCCCATGGCGTTGGAACTTCCCATTTCAGAGCCTCTTCTAGTCAGAAGCATCATTATACGAAGTTGGCAGAGATTACAGTCAAGTTCTGTGTTGTGACAGTTTGTGCCGTACTCTAGGGGCATCCACAGGACTTAAATGCTATATACTAGGATATAAATGTTAAAAAAATACCTTAACAAATTACCCCATAAAATGTTCTTAATTAAGAACAATACAATATCTGATGTTCTAACTTAAAAAGGATCTAATACAACAGATTTTTTAAAAATTAAGTTTTGCATTCATTTCTATTTCTAGGAGGATGGTTCTTCACAGGCAAGTGAGGAAATCCCAGGTTACACTGTGAGTGTTTTCTTTCGATTTACTAGTACTTTTTCCTTACCTTTGTTCAATTGCACTGGCATGCTTTCCGATTTCATCAGCCGCTGTTGCTGCTGCTGCTGCTGCTGCTGCTGCTGCTGCTGTTGCAAATGATGCCTGGGGGCCTCTGCTAAGGTCCTGGTGGGAACAACAGCAGTGGAGGAGCTGCCACTGCTGCCCCCAGGGACAGGGCCACCCGTGCTGCCTGGGGCCATTGCTGGAGAAATCAACTTTCTTCCAAAATTAATCAGGCTGTTAGAGACCTTATTTATATTCAGGGGAGCGCCTTTGGCATTGGTCCTGTAAAAAAAAAAAAAAAAAAATTGGGTGGAGAGACATTACTTAAACTAGAGGACAATTCTATTTCACATACTCCATTGGTATAAAAACATACCTTACCTGCTATGAAAAAGGCCATTTACTGGATCAGCTACACAAACTGAGAAGTGAAAACTTAAAAGTGACCACAGAATAATAAAACGACAAGAGTCTTAAAGATGTGGTTTATGGAAAATAGTCTTTTCACTTTTCATTCATTCATTCATTCCTTCATTCAGCATCTAGGGCCTATTACGTGCCAATATTGTGCTAGGTTCTGGGGATACAACCGTCCAGAACAGACATAGTTCCCCTCTTGGAGCTTCTAGTCCAGGAGGGAAGCAACATATTAAATAAATAAATGTATGATTAAAACCTGTGATGAGGACTATAAAGGAGAGGTACAGGGCTGGGAAAGCCTTGGGGTACTCATAGAAGGGGGCACCGGTGAAGCCAGGCCAAGAGTAGATTTCCCACAAGCCCTGGCATATGAGTATTAGACCACATTTAATCTGATTTCGAAAAATAAATGTCTGCGAGTCAAGAAGTAAATTCACAGAAGTTACATCAAGTGCCCAGTTCATGAGAATTGCCATCCACACCCCCCTGCCCCAGCACTCCATATCCTCCTTCCCTGCTGCCCTGCTTTACTTTTCTTGATAGCACTTTGCATCATCTGACATACTATATGTTTTACTCATTTGGTTATTATTTGTCTACCTTGTCCAATCCTCACTCAAATAAAAGTTTCATGAAAGCAAGGATTTTTGTCTCTGCTATATATTGCCATTGCCTAGCGCAAAATAGGTGTTTTATAAATATTTGTTAAATGGCAGCTGCATCTACCTGTGGTCTAAGTCTCTTCACCTGTTAAAGTGGAAGAAGAGTCCCTGCTCCTAGCCATGGCCAGCCTCTCCATCTGTGCTCTGGATCCCATCTCCTCTGACTTTTCAAGACTGCTGCTCCTGCATCTTCCTCTTGTATCATTCCCATTAGCATACAGTCATGGGGTGGATGTGTGTACTAACTTCTCCTTTGAACCTTCAGTCCTTTCTAGTTACCATCCCACTTCTTTCCCTCCTCACAATTGTGTCTTCAAAAGGGAGTCTAAACATGCTACTTCTGCTTCTTCCGTCTTTGGCCCACTAAGGTCTTGTTGTGGCCTCCTTGCCATTGCTCTGAAACCACTCTCCTCAGGGTCATCAGTGACTTCAGCATTGCAGAGCTGAAGGTCCATTCTTATTTTACTCTACCTTTCAGTGGCAATTAACCCCCTTAAACACTGCCCTCCCTCTTATACACTTCCTCTCTCAGCTTCCGTGGTGTTCCAGTGCCTGTCTTATTATAACTGTCCAGCAAATATAGGACACCAAGTAAACGTTTGTTAAATGAATGATTATTTCCCAAATGATTCATAATCTTCAAGTATCTCAAGGCTATTATCTTGACGACCAATTTGATTATAAATTATTTTAGTTGTGGAGGTAGTCCAACTCCATGACAATGCCAAATTTTGTATTTTTATGGCCCAAATCATTAATAGAAACTTATTTTCTCACGTTTTGCTTCTTTTTCATAACAGTGAAAAATAGAAAATCAAGTATGAGTCGAATTGAATTTTACCATCATTTCCTTCTCTCAGATCTGCCAGGCAGCACTTACATAGTAATTCTCCTACTTTTTATATGACAGCTGCATCCTTGGCATTACCAGATACAGCTCTAAAACAGAACTGATCCACAGTTCTATAATAAAAAGGAAAGAACACTATGCTTCTTCTTTCCATAAAGTTTGCTCTAATGGTACTAGCTAATATTATGGGCCAGGTATTGGAGACTTCCATTGCTTTGGAGATAGGACAAATCAAATTTAAAACCTGAAATTCAGCTTTATAAAAGAAAGATCTATTCATTTATAACTCAACGAAATATTAAAAAAATCATTTTTCAAATGGTTCTTTTTGCATCAAGTTTCATCTTTAAGGAGCGGAGCTATTTAATGTCCTTCCAAAAAGTATTGAAAAGAACGTTTCCTAAAGGAGATAAGGATATATAGTGATTGTGTACCACTTACTTCCCGTTTTCAGCTGCTTCCTGATGAAGCAGAACATTCTCAATCGACAGACACTACAGCTTAGCAACAGAGAAGGCATTCTACACATGTTTATTAAGAAAATGAATGAGGGCTGGCCCGGTGGCTTAGCGGTTCAGTGCGTGCGCTCCGCTACTGGCAGCCCGGGTTCGGATCCCAGGTGCGCACCGATGCACCGCTTCTCCGGCCATGCTGAGGCCACGTCCCACATACAGCAACTAGAAGGATGTGCAGCTATGACATGCAGCTATCTACTGAGGCCTTGGGGGGAAAAAAAAAAGGAGGAGGATTGGCAATAGATGTTAGCTCAGAGCCGGTCTTCCTCAGCAAAAAAAAAAAAAAAAAAAAAAGAAAATGAATGAATGAAATGAAAAGAACTCATAAATTCTGGATGAAGAAGGCATTCACCCCTGGCACTGTACTCCACTCAGCAGCCCACGTGCATTTCCATTTCTCGTGAGTGGCAGTAGAAGGAAGAGCTATCATGATATTCAAGTTCTAGTGCATTTTAGTTTTGCTTGTTTGCAAGTCGAGATTCATAATTCACAGATATGAAGAAGTTATAACGTTGTTACCCTTTTTTATAAACAAAAACGTACTAGTCAAATTCCCATATTGCCAGTTGTAAAATTTATATGTTGATAAAAGTACTAAGAAACTGCTAGAGCGTTATCAAGAGAATATGGTTAATGCATCTTCATTACTACTAATAACCACGAAAAACATATAGATCAAGCTCATGCCAAGCAATTTTTCATCTGAATAGCTCTTAAAAGGGGATGAGCACTGTTTTCCTGTTTTGAACACTTTTTGTTTTTAACCAATTTCCCCCTCATCTATTACTCTTAGCTTCCAGAAGAACATTTTCTTCTGAAAACAACTACTGAAGGTAACTCTATGTATTTTCAGATATAAACAATTGTAAACCATGTTCTTCTGGGCAAAGCATACTGTCCATAGTTCATTTGTTTTTCAGGCATGACAATTTTTATGCCAACGTTAGCTAATACAGATCTTATATGTTAGTAGCAGCATTCTTCAACAAGAAATACCAAACAATTTGTAACAGTTATTGGTTGTGATGTATACTATTAAGTCATGTGTGCTGAATTAATGAGAATTAATACAGTTGTCAGAGATCTGATGGTCAGCGAGGGCTGGATTAGATTGCGTTGGATTGAAGATGGAGTGCAATGTGTAAATAGTGTTGAAATAAATAGTAAGAGGACTTTGGAGTTAACAAGACATTAAATATCAAATCTAATAAGTAACTAATTCTGTGTAATCAAAGTCTTTCATTACTATTGTCTACTACATACTATTATTAAAAATAGTACCATTTAGGAGGAATTGTTTTGAAATTGTGCCAAGAATTTATTTACTCATTTAGAGGGTTAAATCAGTAGAAACAGGGGCATTTTTCTGAAGATCCAAGAATCCTTCGAAACACTTGTACCAGAACTCAACCTGGCTTCCCTGTTGGGCCCCTTTTGTTCAGTTTCCGAATTTCTGAAAATGGGTAACTCCTGCTGCCTCTTCCTACCCTCTTCCTAACCCCTTAATCTCTTGCAGCCTGGCTTTCTAACCTACATTCTAGTGAAAGGGTTTCTAGGGTCTCCAAGGCCTTCTTAATTGCAGGAGTCATGAGCTGTTTTCATTCAACTTCTAAAATCTTTCTAAAGCTTTTTTTAAAAAAAATATCACATTATTACCTCTGTAAAAATTCTCCACATCCTTCCCTCTCCTGGTATCCAAATTTTTACATCACCCTGGTTTATTTCCTTTCTACCTATAGATTTTTTAGGTCTGATATTATCTAATATTTGTTTATTTCACTCTTTTTGAAATAAAATTTTGTTAGATACTTGTTTATACTTTTGTCAAAGAATGAATTTTCTATATATATATATATTTTTTTTTGCGAGGAAGATTAGCCCTGAGCTAACATCTGATGCCAATCCTCTTTTTTTTGCTGAGGAAGATTGGCCCTGGGCTAACATCTGTGCCCATCTTCCTCTGCTTTATATGGGACACTGCAAAGGCATGGCTTGACAAGTGACGTGTTGGTGAGCGCTGGGGACCCGAGCCTGTGAACTCCGGGCCGCCACAGTGGAGCGTGCATACTTAACCGCTACGCCACCGGGCCAGCCCTCAATTTATTTTAAATTATTTTTCTCTATATTCTAATTAATATTTTTCTTATTATTTCTTTTCTTGTGTTCCCAAAGGTTGAATGCTTGGTTCACTCATTCATTCACCCATTCCCTTATTCATTCTCTTTCTTTCCCAATAAAAGCATTTAAAGCTATACATTTACATTTGAATATAGCAACAGCATCAAAGTTTTTTCCCCACATTTTCTAAATAGTCTATTGACTAATTGTTATTTAGGTACATTTTAAAATTTCAGATGTTTGAGTTTATTTGTGTTTAAATATATTACTCATCTTGTTTTATTGAGTAAAAATAGAAATATCAGAAGAATGGAAGTGGGGAAATGTTCTGATTTTTCAAAAGGAGTGCAGAAACCATGAACTGGAAAATAGACTGGTTTACATAAATATTTTTATTAATTACTTGGAAATGGTTATAGTTTATTACAAGTAGCCAGTACGGTTCACTATAAACAAGTCATTCTAAGGCAACTTTATTTCTTGTCTGAAGTGTTGAAGTCTGTTAGATTTTATCAAGGTATGTCAGTGCCAGTGGATATAACGGAAGCTAAAGCATGCTCAGTTATAGCTAATCAACTGTACCTCAAGTGTACTGCTGAATGTTTTAGCACCCATCAAGGGCTCCTGGTGATGATAAGCATCTCAGACTTGGTTCAAAGATCTGCTCACCAGTCCTTTTTTTGAAGGTCAAAATCTTCTAGTAATGAGCTGTGTAAC